AAATCTGTCACTGGATGATGATGATGATGATGATGATGATGATGATGATGATGATGATGATGATGACGATGATGATGATGATGATGATGATGATGATGATGATATTAATAACTCCCCCCCACCCCACCCCCACCCCCACCCTGTCGTTTTTGCGGCGCGTGTGTATTGCCTGTGCTCTATTGTTGTGTAGGAACTTTCTTGTTCTCTTGTTCTTGTTCTATCATCTTCTACCACGACTATCATGTCGAGGGGAGGCGCAATATCGTCGGAAGTAGGCTACATGGGTCAGAACACTCAAATATAGGCCTTCATTTAATGTTAAAGCTCTCATAAATTGTGTTAGACTCGTACACATTGATATTGATGGATGTGATGGAAATAGCTCATTTTGTGAAAAGTAGTCTTCGTGTTTAAAAAAAAAAAGTAATAAAGAACTACAAAACTCACTTTTGGCTATCCATTACCACTCATTTGGAATGAAAAGAGAAATAGAGAGCTATAGTTATCACCCAGGTTGTCATAGCAATCATAGTTATTCTTTATCACACCAAAGAAAACGAAGTTACTATGCAGCAAGATGGTTCACTCCTCTCTTTGAGCAACTAAAAAAGTGCCTTCAAATTCGCCAGTAGCGCCACCTGAGTATTTGGACGGACCTGCACGTTTTTTTTTCTCCTGTTGTTGTTGTTGTTGTTGTTGTTGTTGTTGTTTTTGTTGTTGGTGGTGGTGTAGGATTATAGGATCTTTATTTAACAAACTGTGCAGGTGGGGGCTTATGGAGAGATAACTGCGTAGTGACCTAAAAGCAAACAGTTTATTATGCTTGTTCCCCCTGATGTATTTGTACATAATGTTTCCTGTGCGCATGCTCATAAGTACGTCAACAAGATCGGCCATTACCCCGTGAGGTCTCACTCTAGATAGCAGACAATATAACAGCAAGCTGGTCTAGATATCTATCTCTTACACGTCGCGCTTGTTGGCACATTCACGCGGTTTTCAAAGTAACAATGGCTGACACAACTCCACCCGACAATTTCGAGTTCCAACCTGAGAATGATTTCGAAAAGATAAGTGCTCCAGGCAGTGGCTTTGATCAGGAAGGCGATGGCTTGCTCGCTGCAGGTGATGAGCCGCAGGACGGGGAGGTATCGACAACCACAGATAATGCGGGTGAGGATGAAGCAGAGGAAGATCGATATAATGTGATTGGTGCCTCAGAGGTTGGAGGGTTTTCAAATTCTCCTGATCCTCTTATTTCATTAGATGATGAACCGCAGTCAGATGAACCTTTCGTGTTTCAAGAAGGGGAGGGGATCGCAGATTCTTCGTCTACTCCTACTACTGTACAGCCATCTGCTCCAGTGCCTGAACCAGAAAGTCTTGATCGTCTCATTGATTTTGATAGTTCCTCAGGTCCAGATCTTACTCCTTTAGCACCATCAGCTCCAGCACCTAGCTTTATTCCTGAGCCCATTCCTGAGCCCATTCCTGAGCCCATTTCTTCTGATAGTGTTCGTCAGAATGATGTTTTCGATTCTGAAGAAACAGACACTACTACTAAGCAAGTTTCTGAACAAAGCTCAGAGTCAGAGGAGACCTCTAAAGGTAACGCATCAGCTTCCGTTAAAATTCAGGATTGCGTTCTGTGCATCAAAGCTCATGCCCCCTTTCCTAGTAATCACTGTTGGTAGAAGCTTTGATGTAATAGCAGCATGAGCCTGACGGAAATCACAGCCTTTTTTTTTGTTGCCTTGCTTTTTATATATTCATAATTTATTTGACATTCAAATTATATTCTTCCCTCTATGACCATCTGTGACTAATAACCTTTATAACTCGACTTTCGTATAGCTTAGGCCTATATTTTTCCATGCAATTTTTTTTCTTTACTGTGTAAACTGAATAAATAAGTAAACTAAGATCTAGTTGATCAAGTAGGTGTTTAGTTGTGTTTTTTTTTGGGGGGGGGGGGGGGGTTTTTACAAATTTTTTTTTTTTTTTTTTTTTTTTTTGGGGGGGGGGGGGGGGGATATTCACATGATTTCATGGTTTGTCATCATGATATTTTTTTATATAACAAAGCAAATAGTAAAAATAGCTCTCATCAGGGCCTTGCTATTTCAAAGGTAGGTTCTGCCCTTAGTTGCCTGTAGCATGACATTACAAAAAATAGCATAGCCTACTTTCCCAAACATAGATGAAGGTCAGTGTTTGACAGCACACCTAAATTTGATTTCTGGAGGGGATTGGTACTCTACACACACATCAATCAAGCATGGCACTGAAGCAGATGCTGGTCGAATTGTTATATTTGGAATCTTTTGTGTGATGCTTTGGGTGTTTGCATTGAATGTTTTCTGATGGCTCGGGAGTCGCACCTTTTTTTAATTGACTGGTAGTTCTTGGTCCTGATGTAAAACTAGCAGCGTCTCTTACAGCTGTGGAGAGTGGAGTGATGCACACATTGTTTCCTCATTTTTGTTGACCATGAGGTGAAAATTAAAGTGATTAAGAAAAGCCACACAATTTGTGCCTGACTATATAAGCCTGACTTATAAATGGAAAAGTCACCTTTTAACCTGCAAGTTCTGTTTTTCTTTGTGAAAATTTAAAGTTGAAATCAGATGGTCAAAAGTTTTTAAACTGTTGACGTAAGCATGACAACCCACACCCTTTTTTTTTGTGCTCTGAGTGCACACCTGGGTCAGTGTGGGGATTTTAATTGAGCCGTCGACGCACTAGAGCACAGGTCTGGTAGCCTCAGGTGGGCATAGCTTAGAGGGTTTAAAGTCTGAAATGTAAGCTACTTTTAGGCCTACTTTTTGCTGTCTTTTGATGTGTGAGCAAATGCTTTGCAGCTTCTGTCTTCCCTCCTTATCCTTTCAAGCCTTTTTCTTCCCTCCTTTTTGCTTATTCTGCAGTGTGTAAATGTTTTTTTGTCAGAGTTGTCTTTTTTTAAAAAATATAAATTTTGAGGTGTATCATTGTATGGCATTTAAAAAAAAAAATTATAGCATCTGATCTTGTAAATTGTTGAAGAATAAAATACTTATTGCCATTGGTTATGTCGCATTTATTTTGCGAGATATCATGAATAAATAATGTCTTGTCAGGGGGCCTTTAGTGTCGTGAAGAGCCCTGTTCACTCAGGTCAGGTCAAATATCAACCCTTTGCAAGATAATGCTTTCTTCTCTCAGGTTAAGACTTGAAAATGTTGTAGGTTTTTTTCACTTCTTTTTCTAAAACTGGAACACACTACGCATACTGCAGTGTCACTTTCTGCTGACAAGTCAGGTTAGTTTAGTTGTTTTTTTCCCATCTGAAGTTTAGCTGGGTTATTTCTTTGCTCAGATTATAATAACTGTTACTGTGCTTGTTGAAAATCCTGACTTTAAGATGGATCATTTTTTATTTCAGAAGTTTCCTTGTTTAACAGAACTACTGTTTTTTAATGCTCTTTTTTAAATTTGCCAGTCACATTTCTTTTATATTGAAATATAACTTATTATTTCATTTCCTGTTTCAGTTCTCATTTGTGACAACAGTTTTACTAACCCAATTCTGTAGTTTTTCAGTTTTCTTTTGTATTTGCTTCCTTTTGGCCTTGAAGAAAGCTGAAGAGCTTCTCAGTTGAATGTTTGATTCTTTCCAAAATGTTGTTTTAGCCTGTTACCTTTCATGACCATCTATAATCTATCTTCTTTCTTTATGTGTTTTGACGGAGTAACCAGTAAAATAATTTGTAAACACTCTGTGTCCTGATGTATAAAAGGCGATCCAGTGATAAATCAAGTAACGTTGCTGTCTTAAAAAGATTTTTAAAAGGAAGTGAAATTTGAGATCAGTGTTTTGGGGGAAAGACCTTTTACAACTCAAAGACTTGCCAATGAGGGAGGCAAAGCTTCGTCATTTAATTGAGGAATGAAAAGGCTTTTTTGTTTGCAGTTACTCTTCCCAATTCCTGAATAGACATCAATATTAATTTGTAATACTTTTTATCATTGGCTAAGAAAAATCAGAGTCAACGCAATCCCCCAGAGCAACCAGCCCATCAGAAATTAAGCTGCATGTCATAGATGAAGGGTGTGGAGAAAAGCTTTTGGAACAGACTTCTTTATATAAATGGCTCATGCGAATGGGTAACATATATTCTTGGAGTGCGATTGAGTGTGGTTGTATAGAATATGATTGTCGTGTGTTCCTCCCAGCACTGCTTCTATGTGTCTAGTTGTGTGTGTTTTGCTCAGGGGGAATGAGCTTACTTACAGCTACATTTTGTACAATGTGCGTGAATTGCAATTTTTGGGTCCCTCTGCAGTGTCCCAGTCGCCCTTTGAGAACCGTTTTTCCTTATTTTCTCATGATGACCCTTCTGTTGGCATTTTTCGCTCGCTATAAATGTAAGGGTATTAAAAAACATTCATTCATATTAGATTATTGCTCTCCGTTTTGACGTATGGTAATAGCAGTGTAAATAAAAAATGATTGCAGAAATTCCACTTTTAAAAAACACTTACATTTTTAAAAAAATAAGCCTGATTTTGGATAATGAGATAGATGATAAATAGGGTTTAAAGTTTCTTTGGCGAGGTTGACATACTTGTTTTTGTACTCCTCGGGTATACAGAAACTTTAAAAGCTACATGAGGATGCTCTCAGAGTTGGAATGCGTTTTATATAAATTCCAGGACCCTTGTCTTTGTACAAATTGAGTGTGCTTTTGTTAGTTTTTGTTTTTTTACCCCACCCCTCCCCAAGCTATGCAATGCTTTGCGTGCTAGCGTTGCATCATCTGGGGCATGCAGAGAATAACCCAACTGGACTTTGGAGATTTTTACGGCGATTTTTTTTTTCCTGATTTTGAAATAGATCTGGCAACACATAAATATAAAACTTTGATAATACACTCTTTCTAATTCAAAGCAATTATTTCCCAGTTCCCCTGTATCAAATACTCTGGTTAAAGTTGATTTAAGTACTATACTATACTAACTATACTCTCAATTCTCCCCTGCCTTTACTTTTTTCTTTTTTGTTCTCCCCCTCCCACCCATCACAGTGTATTTTCTGATGTTTAAAAAAAGGTCTAAATCCAGTTGCACCCTTGGTGACCTGTTTTTACTTCAACTTTCTCCTCTCCTTTCCCTTTTATTTTCTCACCAAAGTATTCCTAGTGTTGACCAAGTTTCTCAACAATACATTTATGAGAAAAGTTACATTTTTGTGGCCTGTTCAAAATTTAAATGACTTGATGATTGGTAGTTTGTGGAGTCTCTGTCTCACTCTCTTTCTCTCTCCCTCTCTCTCCTTCCATCTCTCTTTCATTCTTTCTTTCATTCTGTTTCTCTCTCTCTCTCTGTTTTTCTCTCTCTCTCTCTCTGTCTCTCTCTCTCTCTCTCTCTCTCTCTCACTTTCTGTGTCTCTTTATGATACTTTCTCTCCCCCCCCCCCCTCCTCACATTGCCATTTTTGGGGTGGGAGGGGAGATTTTGTTTTCAATTTTTAAACTGGTCTAGCTTAATAATTGTAATGTGAGAGAAAAGTGTAAAGTGATTGTTCCTGCACACAAATACTTTCTTCTTCCCCTCATAGATGTGCGTTGTAAAGAACTATAGTTCCCCTCCCGGAAAGGTTATAATTTATAGATAAGGCCTATGATTTATATATAATTGAGTTTTTGTGTGTGTGTGTGCACTGTGGTGTGGTTTGGGTCCCTCGAGTATGTTTCCCGTACTGTCGCTAGTGTCTGAATGAACTCAATCTACTTCCTGGCTCCTACGTGACTCTATAATCTAGATAGTATTCTCATCTCATTTCTGCTTTGAAGCCCCGATTGGTGCCACAGACAGTTTTGTTTTTTGTTTTTTTAGGGAATGTAGTTAGTTTTCATTAATTAATTTTATTTAGAAATTCTCTCTGTTATTATAGCAATTTGAACTAATTGCATTTACGTCCAGTGTTAAGACTAATGTTATATGTACTAAACTGTGGCCGAGATAAAGTTAACTTTTAGCTTTTGATATAATGTCATATGTTTGTGTTTCGTATTAGACCCATGGGCCATTTCTTTAAAAATATTGTGAGTATATAAAAGTAAATTTAATAAATAAAGCATAAATAATTGACTTCAATTCATATCCCTAGTCCATGTCTCTCTTGTTGTTGTGGAAAGGGGGGGGGGGGGGGGGGGGGGGGTTATAGTGATATACCTGTTTTTCTTGAAGTCATTACTTCTAAAGTAATTTCTTGATGTTAAGTTTTGGAGTTTGGGAAGTAAATTTAAAAAAAAAACAATTAGGATTCATTTGTCTCTTTGTTCATGATGTGTTGTAACTGAAAGGACAGGACCCTGTGGTGAGTTGCATACGTTTTATTGCAAGTATAATGATAATTAATGTAGTGCTTCCAAGATAAGGGGTGACTCTGGAATTGATTTGATCTTCAAGCAGATTGATAAGTTAATGAAAATAGGGTGGTACTTAACATTATCATGATTGCAATAGCTTTTTTCGAAACAAGACATTGTCATTTCATTCATCATTGGGTGGACGGTTGAGAATCTACAATAAGTTATTAGTGACCTATAATAAATGTTCATCAATTTGCTGACTTTTGTGTGTTTGTTGCAAATGTCGTTGTAAGTTGTGTGACAAATAAAATGACTGGATGGGTGCTGGACTGTAAATTACATGTGTAATCATGTCTCTTTGACTAACTCTGACTATCTATAATCACAAAGTGTCTGTTCTCTGCATGGAAGTGCTGGAAAGGGTGTAAATATCAACCATTGTGAATGAAAAAGTATGGCCCGAACGGCTTTGTTTTATGTCTATGACTGAATAATTTAATGACTCACACTTTGAGTGGGTTTTTTCCTATTCAAATTTTCTCCAATGTGTAATTGGTTAGTTTGTTTAATTTACTAATGCTCTGATATTATTTTATCTCTGCAGGATCATTTTTAAAGGGAGTTGACCCAAGAGGTAAGTTTTTCACAGGATTTTAATTTTCTTTTTTGTGTTATAGAAGTGTTTAAAACTATTAATGGAACATAATAATTTTGATGTCTGCCTAAATGTTGTATTACATTGTTCCCACCTTTGTTCTAATTGGTTTTTATTGATATTAATTTGTCTAGTAGTTGTGCCCCTTTTAAACGCCTTTCAGTCTTGGTTGATCATCATATTTTACTTTATTTTCAAAAGGACGAGGTGTGCCTTTCTCTAGTAGTAATTATTTCACTGCATGCTCTTTTCGATGTTTTGATACACTAAATATTGTCAAGTTTGTTTGTTATTCACCTATTGTGATTGTCAGGTCAGGGTGAGGCGTTAAAAGAAAGTAGAAAATAATCAGTCACGAATGGAATCATTCATAACTTTACACCAGAGTCACACGGATTAGATGTCTCTCAATAATTCTCTTGTTCTGTCTGTCAGTAGGCCCATATAATTCTAAAGAATGTATGTTTCTTGTTTTATATATGTTGGTGGTGCACACCAGTAAATGTCACATATATATTTCTTTGTCCATCAGTATACTTTAGAGAATGTTTGTTTCTTGTTTTATGTTGGTGGTGCACACACAGATTCAGTTGATGAAGACGAAAGTTCTGTTCAAGTTTGTAAGTTTGTATCTTGTACATCGAAAGTTTTGCTTTGGTCCATATCGGTAGCCCCCCCCCTTATGCTTGGTAAACTGAATGTACTTTTAGTTATGTAGTGCATGTCTTGACTCTTTCTAATGGAGGTATCAGACACGGTTGATCTGTCCCATTACGTTTTTTGGTATACAGTATACATGCAGGGTTTGCACAGATTGAAAGTCAAAACTTAGTTCCTGCATGTTGCTTCTTTGCATTGTCCGTGGATGTCCCTTTCTTTTTTTTCTTCAGTTTATAAATCCTTGTATTCTCCCCCTTTCTTTTTTTTTTTTTTTTTTTTGTGTGCTCCAGAAGTCCTCTCATGAATTAGGATTTTATGAATGATTGGGCTCTGTGGGTTGTTCTCCCTTGCATGAGTATCTCTAAATTTGTTTCCAAAGACACTATATTCTACCCCAAAAAATGGTCCTGATCTCTCTTCTTTCTTTTTGGTATTTGTTACTCTCTTGTAACACCTCTAATCTTCGGCACTTCTATGACCTTATTGCGTTGCAAGTACCAGAAAACTCTTACTAAAACTTTTTAAAGACGCCATTATGCTGTATGGCAGTCGTTGGGAGTCTAGCACCCAGCCTTTGATCCTTTGGGATATCATTTGTGATGGGATTACAAGGGGACTTATAACATGTATCTGATTTGAGTTGAAAGCGGAGGTGGATTTTGGCCTCTGTGTGGATTTACCATTGTGAGTTCTTGTTCTATGGAAGGAACTGCATCGCGGAAGTTCTGATATTGGTCAACAGGTGCTATGAGCCTTG